AACAGTATAAATCTGGAAGTAGAAGGCTGGATGTTGAGGTATGAGATCAGCAGACACTTTAGTGTTCAGATCCAAAGGGGAGATCTAGAAGCCCAGCTAATAGCGAATGGGTGGTAGATATGACCATGAGGAACAGGGCAGGTCCAGGTGGTCTCAACTGAGGCTGGGATACCAGGGAAGGTGGTACCTTTAATCTGAGGAGCCAGGAAGGAAGAGTGGAGGGTCCTGAGTGGGTGTGCTGCAGAGTCTGAGGAGGGGAGAGGAGCACACCCACTGACTTTATTGGGAAGATAAGATAAGGAATTGCATGATAAGGCAATGAAAGACAGGGTGGGGCTCAGATAGAATGAGATAACTATGGGAAAGAAATTATTTGCTTGGAGATGGTGATGAAGGCCTGGGAAATGCTCTCCAAGAATAGTGGGGAGGAAGGGAAGGTGTCAGGGACAGGAGCAAGTGGCCAGACTGCCGGAAGCTGAGCAACATAGGTCAGCTTCATTCTGGGGATCAGAGGGATGTTACCTTCTCTCAGCTTAGATATGGGCCTCATCTTCTTCCTTTACAGTCTTTATTCTAAAAGGCACATATTAAAAATATTGTTTTTGCTCCTGATTGTGGTCAAACAGATGTTTGCTTTAACATTATTTGTCAAACTCTGCAAATACATTCTGTGCCCTTTCACTACTCACATAGAAGAATCTGTATATATGTGATATATGTGTGTATATGATATTTTTTGGAGTTTGGGGTCCTTGGGTTCACTCTAGGAGTTTTCACCAGAGCTCCCCTTTCAGTGGCACTTGTGAGTTTCTCCATGAGACAAAGACTCAGTTGTATTTAAAGAGTAAGTTTATTAGAAAGAGACAGAAAAGGAAAGGACACTTGCATAGGCACAAGAGGGCAGGAAGAGCTGCCCCAAAAGGGGCAGAGAGGTTTGCAGAGAGAGGCCTGCATGGTTGCAAGTAGGCAGCCTTAGGAGAGCAGCCTCCACTGAGGAAGGTCAGTGCAGAGAAGCCCCAGTATTGTACAGGTCATGGGCATGCAGGAGGCTTCTGCCCTGCAGAGGGGGACAGTGGGTGGAAAGAAGCACCTGCATAGTCACAAGTGGGCAGAGGACTGCAAGACTGTCCTGATATAGACAGCTTCTCTTTGCGAGGAGCTCACTGCTTGTGAGCCTGGGT